ATAGATTCGGCGAGTAGCGATCAGGCGAGTAGGCGCGATTAGGCGGTGAAGACTACATACGTATCGACTTGTATGTTCCGCCCTGAGGGCGTTGTAGGCGAGTAGGCGATTAGGCGATTAGGCGATTTGCACACGGCGCACTCCTTAGTCGTCAAAATTGAGGCGCACATGCATATTAGCTTCTCACCCATACACTAGACTACTAGTTGGTAAAAGCAGATCTTGTCAAAGTGTTGCATACAATCCAGATATCACCTAATCGCCTACTCGCCTAATCGCCTACTCGCGTACTCGCCTAATCGATACGTATCCTTTACTCATCGCCTGATCGCCTACTCGCCTACTCGCCTAATCGATCGATCCGCATACTTTTCATTTTGAATCATCGCCTACTCGCCTAATCGCCTAATCGCACGTACGATCGCCAACTATGAACGCTCCATTTAGCGGACTGTGCGGGCAAAGCCATTAGCGGACGCACATAAAAACGCTATATTTTATAAGCAATACCTGCTGATAGTATAATGGTGCAACTGCGTCACAAACAGATAACAGTCGGTGGTGATGCAGCTTCATAATCAATGGTTCAACTTCCTCTACCTGCTTATATTTTCCTATCTAAGAAGACATCGATCAGGGTTGGTTCGCCCATGTAAATCCACAACTCCGCGACAGTAGAGGCAGCTAGTACACAGCTCTTCATGTATCTGGCATCTAAACGAACTCCAGTCATAGAGCAAGAAGTCTTAGCGTTGCTGTCTACGGCAATGTCCTGCGTTGGACGCCAACAGTCTTGTTCGAAAATACTTCACATTTATCATACATGCTGCATAGGAAGGAGTGACGAAAATGATCATGAATAGACTACCCTTTGAAGATGGACTCACAGAGCACAGTTACATTAAGCACAGATTAGGTATTCAAGAAAGCGAACAAACGTGTTATTAACACCTATGCACAGAAACTGACATATCACAATTACCATTGCAACATGAGTTGGAAAGCAGAAAAGATTCCTTCATAACATTAACACATGACTGTTCCGGAAAATATGAAGATTGTTGTAATGTAATTCATTTTACAAACGAAGCTGCTTTCCATGCTCTAATGGAGCTCAAAAAAAAACCGCTCATAAATGCTAGCTGCACCTCCAAGAAGCGATTACGTCTTGCTCATCTCCAATAAAGCACTGACTGTTGCATCCTTGTCACCTTAAAAAAATAAAGAAGGAACTAATTGCTTAACTGACTATTGTAAAAAGAATAAACCTCTGCTTTCTTCTAGGACACATCTGATCACTTCTCGATCCACATCAGGGAACATCGCTTCCAGTTCTTTGGTATCTTCAGCCGTTATTTCTACTGAAACAGCACTTCGTTTAACTGCAAGTCCGATGAGTTTAAGGCCGCTTTTCAGAAACCTGGCCGGATAATAGGATGTGGTAAGGAGTAATGTAGTAACTCTTCCCTGGATACGCGCTACGCTTCATGAGAACATCCCAATATTCGCATGCAACTTATATGTACTTGCATCCGTTTGCACGTTGAGGACGACCATTCGTCTGTTTGTGGAAGCCCTGCACTTTGAGCGCACTATCGAAGGACTGCAGTAGGTCGTGACTCCCAAAAAGTTGGCAGCCTTTTAGACTTGAAGAGAGGGATTACGATAAAGGCGTGTGCAGCAAGGAAGCTCATGCACCAGTGAAAGCAGTAGTGAGCGGACGATGAAAGTGACCGCGAAATGTGGCCTTTTGCGTCCTTAGATTGCGCTAGTCGCACCGCAATAGGCTCGCCTGCCTTACCAAACCCGCCACCGGCTTCTGCCCATCGGCGTTGTTGCCAGCAGCAAGCGCCACTAACAGTTCTGCACATTGCCAGAGGCTAAATGTTCCAACAAAGGTACCATCGCATATTCCTGACGGATTCCTTTGCTTTTGATTTCGCTGCTGGAGTATTACTTAGCAACCCCACTTCCACTGTAGATCTAAGCAAATCTAATCGCCATTCCTCGCTCTAAGCACTAATACAGCTTTCTACCTAGCCTAACCGCACGCCTAGCCGATTTCGAGGTTGTACTTGTGATTTCGGGAGGGGGGGGGACGTATTCGAACTTGGCAGAGTCGACGGCCTATTGGGGAATACCAACGGAGTGGTGTTTAAGAAGTTGAAGAGGATGCATTTATTTACGAGGCAACTTCCTTTAGAAATGAGTTTTTGTTTGCGAATAATCACGGAAGTCCATGAAATGGGGAAAGCTATTTATACACCACCTACCGACAGGGTGAGGTGGCGGTGGAGCTTGCCATATTGTGGGTGATCACTTCAACCCTCATACGTGGTCATATTGGAGACGCCAATAAGAAGTCGTAAGTTTTTGAAAGCGCCCCAACGTGACGGCTGCCGGCTACTTGCTTTCCCAGCATTACTAGATTTAATTCCAAGAGAAAATCCTGTCTATTTGAACATACCTCCCTCTCAAATCCAATGCGTACCGCGGCATTTTTCGCTGGCCGGCGCCTTTCGCTTGCACTTACCAGGGAAGGCATTCAACCCATGGAACTTTGAATTGAGACGCATATGTGTCGACAGAGCTTTGAACGCTGATTACAAATATGAAAACTAAAACTGCAAAATGAACCTGCCAAAGGAAGTTGTGAGCAGTCAAAGTTGGCTGAAAGTGAAGCGTTGCATGAACCACGCTGACTCCCAGGCTTTCAGAGCCGCCGCGGAGTAGTGGTAGTGCCCTTGCTCTTCATCCCGAAGCTCATAAGTTCTTTTTCCGTTGGAATGCAAATGCCGAGAGCACTACCACGACTCCACGGCGAGTTTGAAAGCCCGGAGGCTAGCACGGTTGAACGTAACGCTTCGTCCAACTTCCAGCCAACTTTGACTGCTCACAACTTCCTTGGCAGGTTCATTTTGCAGTTTTAGTTTTCATATTTGTAATCAGCGTTTGAAGCTCTATCGATATATCTGGGTCTCACACTGAAAATTCCATGGGAAGTTGTATGCCTTTCCTGGTTAGTCCCGCGAGCTGCGTGATTATTACAATCATTTTGTTATTCTCCTTATTCGGTTTTATATTGCAGTAGAATTAGAGCACGAGAAAATGAGAAGCACATACTAAAAAAAGCGGTGCTACACCGTTTGCAGCACGCCGCCACACAGATGCAATTCAGCGTGCTGCACGGGGTACCATTCGATTACATGGCCGCAACAAATGAAACTACAGGCCGCATGTAATAATGTGATGAACTAGACCGAGCTTAATAATGAATCGTCACTCTGTCGCTGTGTTTCGGAGAAAGATGTATAGCAAAAGAATTGAGGGAGGTGACGGTCCTCACTTGAGATTTTGTAGCGCAGATAAACCATATATAGCGCAGATAAACCATACATACCTGGCAGAGGTGGAGCCGGCGTTGCAGGTAATACGACTGCTGTAGGGAATGGTAGCTTCAACCGGAGCGAAAGAAATGATCAGGTGAAGCATGCCTTCTTTCCCCTCGCCCTGAACCAATTATAAGTTTGCCTCCACCGAAATTTATGCATTTCCTCGGAAAGCCGATGTCAGATTTTGCAAATCCAGCGATTCGCTGGACACGCACGTTGCACCAGCGAATCGAGCTGTGTACCAGCGTATCGAACTATATGCCAGCGGAATGAACGATGAACCGGATCGAACGATGTACCAGCGACTCGACACTGTTTGAAAAAAGGCGGGACCCAACGTTTCGATGAAGTCTACTTCGAAAGAAACATACTGTTTGAAGCCGGCGAGACTTCCTTTCAAAGTCGGATCCTGCCATTTTCGAACGCTGGTACATCGTTCGATCCACTGGCACATAGTTCGACGCGATGGTACGCAGCTCAATTCGCTGATGCAACGCTCGTGCCCCGTGACGCTAGCGAATCTCGGGATACTGCATCTCGCAAAGCCTGACATGAGCCAAAATGCAATAAGCAACCTGTTGTCCACTCAGCGGATAGTAGTCGTCGATTGTCTCTCCATTGAAAATAGCAGGTGGAAGCATAACATGGGCCCAAGCAACACATTCATCAGCGCTGAAGGCTTTCTGAAATTGGGAAGAGCTCAACTATTTTCAATGCGTTTGGCGAGCTCCTCGAGCACAACGATGGAATCCTGGTTTGAAAAAGATTGCACCTCGTCGAAAATTTGAATGTAGATGCTTTCAACACCATTAGGCAGGTACGCATGCACAGTTCGATTCCACACAGGACTTCGACCTCCACTGAGCTTTGTCTGAGTCTCAAACACCGCATGACCCACTCGTAATCTGGAAAATGGCACCATGAAGAAGCCCTTTCCTCACTGAAACAGCACAAAAAGCTGTCAATAACTGTAACTGGTGGCAGTGGCAGAAAGGCTGCACCAAGAAAGGGATAGCATAGCTGACCTGCAATAAGGATCCATCCTCACAATTCCATAGTTTCTGACCAAATTTGCATCGGCAATAGTGATTGAAAGCCGACCGCGAGTGTTAGGAGGAACGAAACTTCCACCGGTATACACCAGCTGAAACGTAAAGGTAACGTGGATGAGCAAACATTTGGACTAATGTTTCTTTCCTCGGTCGAACTTGCGTAACTGAAGCCGTAGCCTGCTCCTGTGAATCATTCTGATCCGATCTCACCTGCTGGGTTTGTTGCTGTTGAGACGCAGCCGCCTGATCACGAGGGACTATCAATCGCAGAAAGTCAACCGGAAGTTCGCCAACTAAGACCTGAAATATTCTTGTCATAGTAAGCAGCTGACACCGTGTCTAATATTTATTATCAGAAAGAAAAAAATGATGACCCCTTAATAGAAAGTTAATCAGTCTTGAATGCTCCCCTGAATGCAAGTTGCACAAATAACTTGGTCATTTTGAAGTTTTAGCCTTTCACCAATGCTCACTACACCTACTACATTAATTGAGCGTTACATCTTGTCTTTTCAAACCTTGTCTCCTTCGACATTTCCAATTCTATCAACTGTTTTTTTTTATCTTGATTCTTCATTCTTTCACGATCGATGGATGTCGACTCGACGATTCTTCGAATCCGAGGCTATTACTACATTATACATAACCAGAATGGTCCTCTGCTCAGGAAATCGAAAAATATTCCTGAGCAACACAGTATACTTTGGTACCAACATCCTAAAACATCGTACGGAGGAACGATGAGGAGGTTTGTGATAGGTCGCAGACATAAAACGTAGCCTCAGCTGATGAAAATATGCAGTAATGCTTCATTAACAACCCTGCGCACAGAACCCACCGGATTGTGGCCGGTTGGCAACCGGCCAAGGGCGCCGCACGCGACACGCGTTGCACGACCCTCTCATTGACGGG